TGTAACTGGACAATGGACATAAAGAACTTCCCTTTGCTTGGGACCAGAGGAAGGTGAAATAATAATAATAATAATAATAATAATAATAATAATAATAATAAACAGTAATAATTATTATCAGCTAACATGTGCAAGCTCTGTACTCAGTAAATTACATTTGATACCCACAATAACTCTTTGAGGTAACCAATAGTTTCACTCTGATAAAAATGAGGAAACTGAGATTCAGAGACATTAAGCAACTTGCCCAAGGTCACACAGCAAATCTGTAGCTAGACCATGATTTGAATAGATTCTGTATCGTGGCATCATTATATGCTGAGCCTGGGACTTAAAGAAGAGAGACCCTTTTAAATCATAGGATCATTCTAGCTCCACAAGGAGAACTTAAGCAGGAACCTTTCTGCTATCTTATAGTGTACTATCCAGTCTCTTTTGATAACACCAGATTACTTACTTTCTTGGTTTTCCTAAAACTTGGCTCCTATAGAGCCTCTTAAGGTAACAAAAAATACAGCTTCAATTTGAGCTCTGCAATGCACTCTAGAAGGTAACTTATCTGGATTCCCTTGAATAAGTAAAAAGTACAGCTTTCAGCCAGAAACACTGCCTCTGACAAGCTGAGGATCTCACACAGAATCCAGAATTTTTAGTCCACCCAACTCTCCACTATTTACCTTAAATCTGTAAGAGCAGCTTTCTCTGCATGTTGAACTGCAGTGAACTGCACAACTCATTTATGGCCTTGGCACCATTAACCTTTGATATATATATCAAGATATATCTTTGGATTCAAGAGCTTAGATGAAAGGGGACTTCTCTTACCTGCACTTAGCTGGCTGTTTGTGCATTCTCATCTCAGATATATAGACTGTGCTATTTTGTTGTTTTATTCCTGGGTTGTACCAGGCACTGGAGGAATTCATGTGAAGTTACTGCTGGGCTGAACTGTAATTTCCTGGGTCTTTTTAGGTTTTGGGAGAGTCATAGGAGCCTATATTTAATAAGTTTCCCTTGCACACTAAAAATATGAGAATAAACGCTTTAGAGAGTTGTAGAAAACTTATGTTTTCAAAAAGTCTGAATCTTTCTGCTTAAACATACAGACAATGTGATATTTTCTGAGCATTTCTCCAATGATTGAGCAAATGCTTCTGTTATATTTGCTACATCTAGAGCTTTCTTTTACGAGCTGGAGGTAAAAAATCATTCTGAAGCTTCCAGTCTAGTTTGAGAGGCAAAGTCAACATTTACAGTGCAGTGTGGTATATTATTGCTATGTTTTGCTCTGATAGATCTAATAAACTACTGTGCCATGATACACGGACTTTCTAGCTAAAGGTATGGCTTCCATTAAAGGTGTGAGTGTTATTGAAGGGATCTTTTGTGGGGTTTCTCAACCTTGGCTGCCCATTAATATCACCTGGCGAATAAAGAAAATCTTGATGCTCAGGCTGTACCTTGGACCAATTAAATACGAGTTTTTGGATTGGGATCAGTGCATTTCCCCAGGTTTTAGTTTCAATTTCAATCTCAGCAGCATGTTTCTCTCCTACGCCTTCCCAAGTATCAGTACTGTAGGTGCTAGGAGTGCCCATTGTTTCTCAAAGATACCCATCAGCAGAGCAGGGTTTCCATGCGGATCTGATAGGAGGCCACATACTTGGCTTTTCATCTGGGATTCGAGGTCCAACTCTTTAATTAGGCTTCCCCCACTTCCGCTATTGTATCTCATTGTAGTTATAATAAATTGGCATGGCTTGTGTTTGAGCACGCCTTTGAGTGACGTAGGCCTGTTTTCTGGTATTTAAATTAAAGAAATACTTCGCCGAGAGTAGAATGGAGGGGCTACTAGGGAGCCCTTGACCAAAGAGTCTATCTTTAGAAACAGCACTTCCTGTCTGTTTGTATGAAGTGCTTCAGGAAGCCCTGGGTGCTGGAATGATGAGAGGGCGTAAAGCAATACTACCAGCCACCCACAGGTAAGACGTTAGTTACTCTGGGTGACAGCCCAACACCAGTTGAAAACGAAATCCATGAACATTAAGACGGGTGATTTTCCACTGAAAATATATTTTTCCATTCTGGGAGCTTTGCTGCTGACCTGAGACAATGATTTAATAGTAGAGCCATTTACCATATACTAGATTTCTTCTTTGCCCACGACTTTCTCAAGGTCCAGGCTGAGCCTAGCGACAGAATTTCTGGCTGGGAAACGCAGGCCTCTAGCATTCTCCATTGTTTGCACGTTTCTGCAGATGCCAGTCCACCACGGCATGGGTGGTCCGAGCTTGCATTGCAGACAGCTGTAGAGGTTCCAGCAGGCTGGGAGCCTCTGACGCAACCTTCCTTGTGAGGACTGATTGGCCAAGAGCTGGCAGCCAGCCATCAGTGATTTTTTTTTTCCTTTGCAGTGTTTGCACTTTTATGTCTAAGCTATTACCTTTGCTGAGCTGAATGGAGGCAAAGTGTTTGAGCTTTATTTTCAAAACCGGGAAGGTTTGTGAGAAGAAAGTGGTCTCCAGGTTTTCATGTGGGTCTCTGGTAGGAGATGATGGCAGTTTCTTTTTTGGTGAGCACTTAGAGATGCAGGTATCTCAGAGCTTTGTGATATTCCTTCTACTTTAAGCTTCTTAAAGCATCATTGATTAAAAAAATTGAGAAAATGGTACAAGGAGCCAGTGTGCTGGTCATCTCTCGTGTTCTCTCTAATTGAAACATAAATAGTACCTTATCTGAAGAAATTTCAGAGACAAACCAGTTATTTCATCAATGCCCTGTCTTTACAGGTTTCTATTATCCGTTGAGGATATTTGGGCTTGAACAAGGGCGTGGAAGAAATTGCTTCCTGTTAAGTATTATGTAGGCACTTGTCAGTCTGAAGCAGCTAATCCTCATGGCAGTGCTATAAAGTGGGCACTCTCAGGATCCTGATTTTAAACCGGAGGAAACAAGCTCAGAGACGTTAAGTGACTTGGCTGAGGTTACAGTATAGGGATGCCAGGAACTGAACTCTGATTTTTGAGACTCCAAAGGCCATGCTTTACCATTCCCATCACTCACCTCCCTGGCCCAGTCTGATTTTGCATCAGCTAATTCACAAGGCCAGTGTTCCCATCAAGCAGCTATCTGTAGTAGGACAGCACTTGCTGTCTGACTCATTCAAGCCTGTATTCCCCAAACGGAAGATAGAGTCTGATTATATATGTGTATATAAGAGATGCCCAGTAAATGTTTTCTGAACAAATGAGCACTTTTCTTTTACCCTGAACTCTTGTAGTAGTGTTCTTGAAACATCTAAGCTGTGATCTCAATTATGGTGTTGTTTTGTTTTTTGGATGTGGAATTTAGAAGCTTCTTCTATACTTTCTGAATTATGCTTTGAAGGAAATGAGAGGCCCCCGTTGTCTGGTTCTAACTGGTCTAGTAGTGAATGTCAGCTACTTAAGCCTTTTCTGCTGCCCTGGAGGAAACCAGCTACGGACAAATTCCTGTAGGGGAAAATACAGTTTGGGTCTTACCTGATTCGAAAAGCCTCATCTTGACATTCAGAGGCACATGGGTGAAGTCCTGGCACCGTCATATTTGGTGAGCTCTGCTTAAATGTCATACTTATTTAAAGAGACACTGCTTGCCCTGGAAATGCCAGTAGCCAGTGCATGTGATTTGTCAGGATGCAATATTTTCCTGCCTTATTTTATGGACAGGCAGTATACCATATGTCTTAAGGTTTGAGAAATCTGTGATGACATTATATATCTGAATTATATCAAAGTGCTCTGGCATAATAGTGCTCACTTGTGCTCAAGTATATACTTAGTAGAAAATGGAAGGTGGGAGAGTGATTAAATGATGAGTCTTTCTTAAGAAGTAAAAATAATCTCTGTATTTTTCTCTTGACTATTCTCACGAAATATGAAAAGGTTGTTATGGTGAAGATACTTTTGCAAGTCATTAGGACTACTTCACCTAATGTTTTCTTAAGATTTTTTCAAAAACATGTATGAGAGCATACAGAAAGACTACATGTGTAATAAATAATAACACCAAACAACAGATATTTTCTACACCAGCCATTGGAATAACAAGGGTCTTTATCTGTAATATCTCAGAGATGGGTATTATTAATCTGCTTTTGTGTGAATGCTGAGGCTTTGAGAGGTTTAAGATCACACAGCCTGCGAGTAGTGGAAATGAGCTTTGAGTCCAGGTTTATTTGAGAACTAAGTTCACCGCAGGCTCTTATCTTCTGGTGACACTATTTCCTGGTGATGTTATGAAAGCTTTTTTGATTTCTGTGGTTTCCTTACTATTGCCCTTCCTAAAGTATAAATATGCATCTAGTAGATATGAATTATTCTTCTCTAAATATGAATTATGTTGTGCATTTACTAATTTAACTCCTTGGTCTCTGCATACTGAGGAAGACCATTTAGGTGAGGATACCCTACTGTATTTTGGCAGAGGACAAACAGAACCAGGAACTCAAATATCACTTCCTGAAAGGTATGATTAGATATTGGGCGAGTGAGATAATGAAGGCTTACATTTAGGGAGGGAAACTATGAAGACCAGAACCTATATAGGTAATGTCCTTATTTATGACTGGAGATGTGACTTGAGAAAGTTCTACAGAGAGTGTTCTCTTTTTTTGTCTTACGTTTGGTTCGATGCAGAAACGAATTTCAGTATGAGATGTGACATAAGGGCGAAGAATGAGGAGTCCGTCTACAGCCGATGTATAGGGCTTTTTCCCACATTAAATTCTCCGTGATGCCGGGCTGGGTGTCCTATAAGTCAATTCATTTCCAACACTAACTGAAGTTAGCACAGACCCCACAGATTAAGGGCTCAGTCCCACGAAACTGCCTCTCATTTCAGACGGCAATTGAAAGTTTAGAAATCCTAATCTGAGGTTTTGGTTTGGTTTCACTTGCCACGGTTCCGGCAGCCAACCTTGGGCTTGCGGAAGCACACGCTCCTTCTGACGTCAGTAAGGTCAGAAGGTCAGTAGTTGCGTGTCTCTGCGTCGTCACGCCTGTGTCGTTTTCCCTGCCTCCTGTCCTCTCCGCCAGCGTTTTGTCATCTCACGTCATCCTAAGAAGGGTGAGTAGGGCAATAAATGATGTTTTGAGAGAAAGAGACCACATTTACATTGCTTTTCTTACAGTATATTGTCGTACTTGCTTTGTTTTATTATTTTTATTGTTAATCTTCTATGGTACTTAATTCGTAAACTTTATCATAGGAAAAGAAGTATAGGAAAAGAAGTATGTATTGGGTTCGGTCCCATCTGTGGTTACAGACATCCACGTACAGCCCCTGCAGGAAGGGGGACCACTAGTAGGCCCCCAGGTTACCTACTGCTTCTGTCAACTTAGCTGTCTGACAAAGTGAAGGTTCCCAGAATTTTATTATTTGCTAGAACACTCAGGGAAGCACTTTATTACCCATACTGGTTTATTATATAGCAAAGGCTATGATAAAGAATACAGATTAACAGCCGGATGAAGAGGTATATAGGGTGAGTCTGGAAGGGTCCCCAGTGGGGGAGCTTCTGTCCCTGTGGAATTGGTGTGTGTTCACTCACCTGGAAGCTCCTTGAGACCCATATTCTTGCGATTTTTGTGGAAACTTGTTCATATAGGCATGATCAATTATTGACTCTATTATCAGCTCCTCTCCCCTCTGTGGAGAATGGGGGTAGGGCTGAAAATTCAGTTTCTGATCATGGCTTGGTCTTTTTGGTGGTCAGCCCCCATCCAGGAGCCACTCAGGAGCCCAGCCAGAGTCGCCTCCTTAGAACAAAAGACACAGCAATCACCCAGGAAATTGCAAGCGATTGAGGAGCTCTGCATTAGGAACTGGGGCCAAAGATTGAATGTTAGAACAAAAGATTCCCCTAGCGCCCCTGTTTTACAAGGGTTTTGAGGACTCTGTATCCGGAACCAGAGGTGGGTGTGGGGGTGGCAGGGATCAATACATATTTCTAATTATTTCACATTAGTCTAAATTTTTAAGAAAAAATACCAGTTACGGACTGAAATTCAACATTCCTTTTCCAATTTTGTATTGTCCACTCCTGCCTCCTGCTGCCCTGCTATTGTACCCCCACCATATCGTATATATATATTAATTCTCAGTGGAGTATTTGTTCCTTTCTGACACCAGCCTTGGCACATATCTTACTTTGGGTTCATAACAACAAGTCATACATTACAGAAGGGCTTATTGCACAGTTAGAAAAGCTGCTTTAATAACTTGTTTCCTGTATTTTTCATAACCTAGTTCAATACTGTATTGATGATGTTTTATTTACTTGACTCTGCCAAAGTGCTTTCTTTCCTCTATGCCCAAATATCCATTTTAGAATTATTTTATGCATTTTGGACAGCCATAAGTACATTTTAAAATGTTTAGTAGAACTTTATTAATTTCACAGAAATTTTAATTTTTAAACTATTTTTAAAACTGTTAAATTGAGATACATACAATAAAATGCACAAATCTTAGTTTACAACTTGATGAATTTTGACATGTGTAGATATTTACCTAGATGAATAGCAAGCATTTTATTAATTTTGATTCTTTGAAAATTGAGTAACAGCAATTCTTCTGCAGTTTCTAGGCTTAAAGTAGTATTTAAAATAATAAGTTAATTTTTCTAAATGTGCTTTATAATTTGGACCTTTTCTAGTTCATACATGTTTCCTTTCTTTTTTCCCTTTCATTTGAGTTAATCTAATTCTATATGTGCTTTGATGACAGGTAAATATATATTAAAAGGGACTATTATTATATCATTGCTCCATATATTTTATTAGTGTTTATCATTATTAATAATACCCACCAACACTTATGTAGAAGATATAGTTTTCAAGTGCTTTTGTCTACAATATTATTATCTCTGTTTAACAGAGTGGGAAATGGCATTGAGCAAGAGATGATTAGTAAATGGTAGAGTAGTAATGTCAGGCTTAATCCTTCAACTCCAGAATATGTATTTTTTCTGATACCCCAAAATGCTTTTTCTAGAGTTAGACTATTTATGTATAGGTAAAATAGATGAATCTTAACAGAGAACTGTGAAATCAAGATGACCCATTTATCTGAGACTGCTCTGATAAAAATGTAACATTCGTTTTAGGCTCACTTTGTCTTCTTCAAAAATTGTAGCCTTGCTTCTCAGGTCTTCAGATTAAGCATTTGTTAGTTTCTTCTCTTCAGATTAGTCTTCAGATTAAGTTGTTTTGATATAGTAGAGATCAGAGGAATTGCAGTCTGTGACTTCCTAGATCTTGAGCAATTTTCATAACTTTTCTGAACTTGTTTTTCTCATTTGATACATATCACAGTGAAGAGACTGAGCTCAGAGAAGGGGTCAACAGAGCAAGGTAAGTGAGAGAAAACAAACCACGATAGGTTTTCTGATTCCAGATAGGTGGGTAACATCCTTAGTGGAATGAGCATGGCTCTGGAAATCACGTGGTACTAATGTGTATTCTGGTTCAGAGATAACTCAATTAACATATTTCTTTTCAGGCATTTCATACCCACTCCCAGAGTGGGGCCTCACAAGTGTCCCACATGTAAGGTGATTTAGGTACTAAAACAACTTTCCAGATATCTTAACTTGGTCATTCTGGTCCACTCTTAGCTGCTGTAAATACTACCTGATTGCTGCTCAGTGGTAGGGTCTCAGTTATACCCTTTTTTCCAGGAACAGAATCAATTCCTTATGTAAAAGGTTTTCCTAAATACCAATCTAGACACCAACCATCTGAAGGAGGTATAAGCAGTTGAGCACCTTTCTCCTCAAATTTCGGATAGAAAAATGGTTTTATGTAGACTTCATAAAATTTGCATGAAATAATTATTTGGATTCCTCCCTCAGTGTTCTCACCCATTCATTGAAACCGTTTACGCAGGTAAGTGAAGGATTTGACACAAATAGATTTAGGAGTCATAATACAGGAACTTTCATGAATGATTAGCAGTCCTCAGTGTGTTAGACAAATAAATAGAAACAATGCCAATTTGCTTCTGTTTAGTTTAGGCCAAGTTGATAAACTTCATGGAAGAGTGACTCATTGAGTAGCAGTCAGAAACTTTGTGCTATTTCATTGAAGTTGTGTAGCACTTAGTCCTTGTTGCAGTATTTGTATTTTGGAGGCTTTTCAGCAATCTTGGAAGCTGCTTCTCAGTTATGGGCATGCTCATCTCTTTTAATAAGAGCCATGAATGTTCATTCTTGATAATACTTTGTCATTGGCTTTAGAATTCTTATAAGAGGCACATTTGATACAACATCTTTAACAGGATTAATGCGGGAGGCAAACAGGGTAAGGCAATAGACTTCAAATCATGATTATTTTGAATGGCTTTGTTCTTCTATAAAGGGTTTGTGACACGTGAAATTCCAGCCAACTGAAAAGGTGATCTTTTAACTCAGATACCATGGGACATATCTTAAAGGGATTTTTAAAAATTGTTTTTGTTTGTTCTTTCATCCATAGATCTTTGCAAAGCATGAGTCTGCATAGGGGAGAAACATCTCCATAGAAAATGTTCAAATAACAGGTTTTTATGGTCTAGACATTCCAGAATTTCATAAGATTTATAAGGCTCCAGTAAAAACTCATAAAACTCCAGTGACTTGAAATGAAACATTTTCATGAAGTGGAAATCAACGTGCTTTGATTAAAACACAGTTCAAAGGGAAGTAAACCAGTGTGATGTAACAGATTCAGCTAAAATAGTGTTTTTAAACATCCTCTGCCACTCTCTTCCATTTCCTTATCATTAGTGAAAATGGCATACAAAGAAGTTACTAATTATTTACTACTGTGATGGTCCTGAGACTATTATTCTTTATTAGTTGTATTAGGAAGGACTATTGTTTTTTATTGAGATAGCATCTTGTCAAATACACTCATGTGCCTATGCACACCTTAGACTTTCACTTGGAAGGAAAGCTTTGAATAGATCTCATTCTAATCTAGGGGAGGGTCATTTATGAATAACTTAAATGTAGTTCAGTGTTGATCATAGGCATGCTTCGGTTAGGCTGAATTCTTTCCTATTACATTAACTGTGTTCTGTGAGTTTGGAAACAGGTGTAAGGGGCACAGTTGTTTTTGGCTCTTATTGGTCAAAGTGTTACAAAATTTCTTCTGGGGGACAGGTGTATGTGTGAATGGTGGCAGTAGTAGTAACACATAGATCTTTTAGTCTTTACATCTGCTCCCTTAGTTGATTATTTTTCTTATTTCCATTTCAGTAGGGAAGATCCTCAAGGCTAAGAGGCTGAACTGAGAGAGGCAGCGTCAGGAGGTTTAGGAGGCCTAAAAGGAGGCTTGTTAGTACATTTTGGTCATCAGGCTCTTGGAATTTGTCCCACCTTAATAAAAATGCCAAGTGTTTAAGGAGTGAGATATAGTTTTCTAGTAAGCAGATTTCTCCTGAACACTAGCCATCCTACTCCTTTCCAGTATCATGCACCTGTCAAATCAAGTCCGTCACCCCCAGGTTGCTTCTGAGCACAGAACCAGAGGAAATTTGGGTGGTCTGCAAGATAGTTCTTAAATACACTTTAGGGTGTCTTAGAATCACCTAGAGGGCTTGTGAAACAGGTTGCTGGGCCTCTTCTGCAGAGTTTCTGACGTAGTAGGTTGGGAGTAGAGCCTGAGAGTTTGCATTTCTAACAAGTTCCCAGGTGAGACTGATGCTGTGTCTGGAGGTCCACTTAAAGATGACTGTTCTGTAGGAGGAATGTGTGCTCAAGGTGCATTGTGGCCTTGGGAATTATTTCTACTTTGTCATAGAGTATAATTTCCCAATCACCTGGATATTTGTGTTGACCAAATGTAAACTTGTCATCTTAGGTAAATTAATCTCTCTGAGATTCATTTTCTTCATTCATAAGATTGTTGGAAGACTCAATAAGATGGTGTATCTCAAATTTCTCTTACAGTGCGTGACACATAGTGGGCACTCAAAACATAGAACTCTTTCATTCAGTAATTGCCTCTACTACTGTAATATATACTGAACAATGCACTAGGCACTGGGGCTATCAGCTTGAATGTGACAGTGCCTTACCCCCT